CAGGCCTAAGGATATTTACCCATGTAGTAGGGCTATATTACTATTATCCTTCTCATCTTTCCTATTACTTTCTCATATTGGTATCTTATGATTATATCACTTTGTTATTTTTATATGTTATTTTTTATGCCCCTGAGACAAATTTCTTGTGTGTTCAATCACACTTGTAAGTATCCAAGGTTATTTAGATAAATGGACCTTTTTGTCCAATCTAACAGCTTCATTTAAAAATGTGCTCTGATATGATTCTGCCTTAAAACAGTGATTTAAAAACAGCAACACTAAAACTAATTTACTTATGGGTGTAACAAAATAAGCTATATATGCATAATTATCTATATATGTACGATTTTCCAAGAATGAAATATGTAACACTACCACCTCGTATCAATTTAATTAACATATTCTTTTATGACTGTTATTTTTGTAAGATGGATTGAAAACTTCTTATCAAATAAAACTACATAGGATCTGAGCATCTTGTAGTCTGATTAGCATCACATTTTCCCCAAAGCAGACTCACAAGTGGTGATAGCTATGAAGAATAAAGAAAAAAAACACTAAAAATTATAATATACTAAACTTTGATTGGAAAATATATAACTAACTACAGTTCTATGAAATATTGTATAGATACTATCAGATTTATTGTAATAAGCACTGAAATTATTGGTGTAGTATCTTAAATGCTTCTATTTCATAAAATGCTTGACCTGACTACATGTTGCATCTAAAATAGGTTCTTAAAACACTTTTTTATTTAAAAAAAACTTATGAAGCCAAAATAACATTCTTGGTTATATTTCTAAGGTTTACATTATGATTGTGCGATATTAGAAAATCTTTCCGACTGACCATTGTATACTAGTAGGACATGTTTTACATTTATTGTTTTGTTATTGACATTGTATATTTTTGATCTACCAATATTGCACTTAGTTCTAAACACATACTAAATAATATTACTATTACTATGAACAGGATTTTTTTGATATTAAATTCTATTGCTAATAACCTGATCTAATCCCATACTACTGTTATATCCTGGATAAACGTTATTAGTTATGTTCTGATATTTATTTTTATACTGGGGTGGGGAGGTTGGCAAAGTTGCTCTATTTTGGAAAAGTTACCTATTAATGGATGGATGTTTATGTTTAAAGTTTAATATTATATGCTAGCCAGAGATGTTCTGAATGGTGTCATAGAAATTTTGTAACTTAAATGAAATAGAAACAACTGAGCAACTAGAATTTCAAAAGCGTCCCATGATCCATAAGCTCAGCAGCAATGGAATAAATACTCAACAATCCATAGAAATGTCAAACAATGAACCAAATCTTACATTTATCTTAGATTTGGTGTTACTTCTTTTATCAATGTTATCTAATTGGGAACCAGTTAGAGAATAACAATCATCTGAGAAATTATAAACTGCCTTCATCACTGGATATTTTATTTATTTGTCATTTTATCTTAAGATAGCTGATACTGTAGGTGGAGGGGGGGTTTGGATTTCAATAGTCATTGCTCAAGAGTGCTGCATATTTATTTATTATCTTTAAGGTTTACAAATGCATAGCATTAATTTCTAGCTACAGCTTTCACTATGTACAATGTGCAGGCCAAGAAAAAAAAACCTGCCTAATAACAGAATGGCTACTTTTCTGGCAGAATATTTTTTTTTGCTAATTATGGCAGTATTTTGGGTCTTGAGGATTCCTGGGAGTGCAAGGTCAATCAGCCTTGCTAATTGAGCATATTTGGGTAAACACATTGCAGGAGATCAGAATGAGGTAGAGAACTTCAATCTAGCCTGGTTTCAGGATAAGACTCTGTGGAGCTCTTTGTTGTAGACTGAGGTGAAAAATGACTAAGAGCAATATACTCATATAGGCTTTCAAGTTCATCATGAGTCAAGCAGTTATGATCTTTCAGGCTTGAGAGGCCCTGGTCTAGGGTTTTTGGTGTCCTGATGTTTCAGTGGCAACTATGGCTGGCATCTTTCATAAAGCAGAACAATTATTATTTCAGACTTTTAAAATTGGATTTTAAAAAACTATAAATCTTGAACACAATATTTTTATCTTTTTCTAAAGGAAATAAACATATAAATTTAGTCAGGCTGCAGTGTGAATTACATTTCTTCACCTTCATCTTTAATCTATCTATCTATCTATCTATCTATCTATCTATCTATCTATCTATCTATCTATCTATCTATCTATCTATCTATCATCTATCTACCTACCTACCTATCTATCTCCATCATCTATTTATCTATTTGTAAAATTTATTGGCTGTCCACCTGACCACAGGGTAACTCTGGGCAATTTACAATCTTAAACAACCTTTTTCTAACAAGCTGAGTTACCTACAGGCTGTAAATTGTAGTATTTGCTTCCCTCGATGGATCAAAGAAAACTATAGCAGTCACCTCTGTTATGAGTTTACAGCTTCCAAGAATTACTTTACTTACAAATAGATATAAATACTTGTACCTAAAGAGGAATTTAAGAAATGTCTCCTCTGCATTTTCTATAACATTAGGCTTTAATTCTTCAGAATTCAGCTCTGCCCTTTGTGCTAGTAAATTAAACGCCAATCACTATCTTATCAGAATGCAATAAGCCCTAAAATAGATTTAAGTGGATTTCCATACCTTTAAAGTACCTGGGGGGTGCATTTATCATCAGATGTTATCCAACATTCATTCATAGGTAAACCTTCCTTTTATGAAGCTCTATTAGGGAAGAAAAGTGAGTAGATCAATAATAATAATAATAATAATAATAATAATAATAATAATAATAATAATAATAATAATAATAATAATAATTAATAAAAAAGAATTGGCAGCCTAGGCTATTGAACAACTTTCTAATTGCTCTAATTTTTGTTTCATTTTAGATCATATATCAGTACAGCTAAATAAAATTATGATATTAAGAAATGGGAAAAGAATGTAGAAGAATTTGGGACATATGACCAAGGTCATTTCAGTGATGCCTTAATTCATTGTTAAAAACATTGATTATGCAAATGTTGGTTTATGAAACATCTGCTGATCAGCTCACTTCTTCGATATGTCTAGGCATATTTATAAATAGTAAGGATCACTAAAATACTTATAACTATCTGTGCTTTCTGGAATAAATGTTCTGATTCCACATCATTCTTCTGTATTAAACTTAGCAATGCATATTTTAGCAGAAAGCTTCATTATTTTTATTTATTTACCTATTTATATTTAGCTTAATTGTATTCATGTTAAAGTTCTGTAAGATTGTTTTTACTTTGGCTGCAACAAACCTGGTATTATAGATATCTCTGAGGAACTAATTCTAATAATCATGGAAAGAATTTTCAAGGAAAAAATCATATAGTTCTGGGTAATGCAAATATAAATTATATATATATAATTTATGATCACACCTAAAATATTCTAAAAAAACTACTGCAAGATTTACAGTATATGTAGATTTAATAAAAACTGTCATTATTATTTTTAATTTAAACTAAATTTGTATATCAGTGATTGCATGACCTCTGCAGATGCTAGGAGTTAAATAAATAAATAAATAATTAGTTTGAATGCACTTTTTTTAAAAAAAGAAAACAGTCCTAAGGCCCATGGTGGGGGGCTCACAAAAGTGTTCATTTTAGAATTACACTGTATTTTATTGTGTATATTTTTAAAAAGAAAAAAAATGTTTAACTTGATAAGGATTTTTAATGAAATAGAGAGAACAGATACATGACAGAAAATGCTCTCATATAAGTACTTTTTTCAGTAAAGTTAATTCATAAGGCTGTATTAAATGCTTTTGTAAAAATAGATATATTGGAAATTGTACTCCTTTAGCAATCCTATAAACATATCTAACCATTTTCAGAAAAGGTGGGATTTGAAATTTATCAAATTCATCCTGCCTTACATTAATGTTAAAGTAAAATTATAATTTAACTAGTATATGTAACTTGAAGTTCAAAAATGTCCAGAAACGTTATATAATTAAACTTAGGACATAAAAACCCATAGAAATATATCTTTTATCTTATTTTGTCTAACTTTTTAAATTTAAAGTAGTCATTTTCTAATTGGTTTGCATGTATTTGTACTTTATTTTGTATGCTGCCCAGTTACTATGTGAGGTGGGCAGCAATACATATGTGATGAAGTAATACAAATAATACATAATAAATCATTGCAAATCAGAAGTCTAGCCCCCACTTCGTTTATTTTTAACTGAAGAGCCAAGCTCCTACTACTAATACTGTATAACTGCCCGAATTGGAGATCTAGTCTGCTCGACATGCTGTTTCTCAAAATATTTTGCATTGCAATGCCCCTAACTCTTTCCATTTGATATGTTGACCGGGGATCATGGGAAGTGCATTTCGTCCCACGCAGCATCTGGGTGCTGGCAGCCATGCCATTCGTTTGACGAAGTCACTGAAACGGGATAACAGTAAAAGTCAATTAAGAAATCCGCAGAAGCAGCAAAAAAAAAACCAACCCTGCGTGAGCGTGCATGTAAAGGCGAGAGGGAGATGACTGACAGCTCAAACAGTCGGTTAAGGAAGAAAGGAAATGTGGTGGAGCCACACCGTCCCAAAGACGGCGGACCCACATCTGGGTAGAATCCAAATCAACCAATGAACGGCGGCGAAGAACTCCGGCGCGAAAGAAAGGGGTGGGTCCGGCCTACCACGCGCGTTGTTTACTGCAGGAGAAAGCTCCTAGCAACCGAAGAACTAACGTCCCTATGGCAACCAGCGGCGCTTGCTCTGCAACAGAAAGAGCGGCGGACTAGGCCGTATCTTCCTAGATTCTAACAACTAAGGAGCGAACCGGCGTCGGCCCAGTCTGGTAAGCGGCTGCGAGCAAGTAGTGTACTGTATATTCAACATATATTCAGCATAACACACTTTGGTCTGTATGTTTCCCTTCTTGTTTTTAGCATCTTTCTGCCAAGATTCTGGGATGGTCATAAGCCATGGGAGTAGCCTTGACTAGAGCAGCTCAGTGGACCGCAGCTGGATCTGGAACTGGCACCTTAGAAATTACCCCCCTGAATGAATCTCTTTTGAATGAAATTATCAAGTTTACAGAAACATTTAGTGGCAAGCATCCCCAGGAAGCAGCGTTTGTCTTTAAAGAACCACTTGAATGGCATACAAAACTAGAACCATCTGCATTTGAAGCAGGCTATGATGTCAGGTGAGTGGCCACATCAATCTTCCCAGAATATACAGTATAAGAATAAAATACGTCTTCAAGATACCTATAAAGATTTTTTTAATCAGTGCTGATTTTGTTTTCTTTAGGCTCTGATTTGGATCTTTTTGCCCTGTGATATCTTAATAGATATGCATAATTTGCATCTGTAAAGCACTGTAAAGTAGTATATAAATCTAAGTGCTATTGATATCTGCAGATCTTCAGATTAGCAACCCTTTGTATTAGTCAAGATAGTTTGAAGGATGTAAGGAACATACTCATAATAATAGGTGGAGTTCAAAAAGAGAGTTTGATATAGTGACTAAAATGCTGAGCTAAAAATCAGGAAACAGTGAGTTTTAATTCTCCTATAGGCATAAAACTGATTGAATGGTTTTGGGCCAATCATGCACTCTCAGTCCAACCCATCTAACAGATAGAAAGAGACAGGAGATAGAAACATTAAGTATGAATGCTACAGCTAATCCTAATGTTACAATGGAAATTAAAGTGAGGATTGCCATCGCTAAGCAGTGTATCATACAGTGTCACATCACATGACCGCGTTGCTTAGTAATGGTAATACTGGCAATCTCCATTGTGTTATAACCCTAGAAGCATCCAAGTCAAGTGGGAAGAGATAAGGAGTGTGTGGCTCCCATGGATGGGCCGTGGGAAGGCAACAGGCAACAGGCAGGTACAAGTAATTGTGTGTGTTTGTGGGAGGGGAGAGTTTTGCAACAGAAGATAAGATCCCTGGGATCTCCTACTCCATAGTGGAAAAAAAAGCAGCAGGAGCGACTTGTGATCTTCCCTTCAGTTTTCCACTAATTTTGCTTGTGGGAAGCTTTATTTTAGAATGAATGAACTAGAACTATGGAGGTCTTCTTGTCCAACCTCTACTCAAGCAGGAGAACCTATATTATTTCAGATATGTGATTGTTCTTAAAAACCTCCAGTGATGGAGCACCCATGATTCTGGAGGCAAGCTGTTTCACTGGTTAATTGTCCTGACTGTTAGGAAGTTAGGAGAGTTGCTTCTCTCTTCGATTAGTTTCCAACCATTGTTTCTTGTCCTGCCCTCTAGTGCTTTGGAAAATAAGTTGACTCCCTCTACTTTGTGGCAGCCCCTCAAGTACTGGACTATTACTATCATGTCACCCCTAATTGTTCTTTCCTTTAGACTAGCCAAATGCAAATCTTGCAGCTGTTCTTCATATGTCTTAGTCTCCAGGCCTTTGGTCATCTTAGTTGTTCCTCTCTGAACTTTTTTCCTATAAAATTGCTTATCTTCTTGTTCTCTAATTTCAAATGTCAGTTTACTCATTTCAGCAGAGTCTATAATTTTTTTTGATAACTTCCTCCTGCATAGGTATTTTGTCATTTTTCCAGTTCTTCGCAAATACAATTCTAGCTGCTGTTAAAACATTTACAATCAAATATTTCAGTTCATTGTATATGTCCGGTATGACTCCCAATAAAAAGATATCTGGTTTAAAGTCTATATGTTGTTTTATCATTTTTTCCAACCATGTGTGGATTTTAGTCCAATATTTCTTTGCATCTGAACGTGTCCACCACATATGGTAATATGAACCAGGTATCTAATTACATTTCCAGCATTTATCCGATTTATTCTGAAACATTCTCGCAAGTCTCGTCGGGGATAGGTGCCACCTGTAAAACACCTTATACAATTTTTTTTTATATGCAGTTGACATTGTCATTTTATAATTTTGAGACCACAATTTTTGCCATTTTTCCAAATCAATCCCATATCCAAAAATTTTCCCCCAAGCAATCATAGTTTCTTTAACTTGCTCCTCCTCCAATTTAAATTCTAATAGATGTCCATAAAGTTTTTTAATTATCTTTTCATCAGTACCCATCAAAATTTTATCTAAGTCAGTCAACTTATCATAAATACCTTCTGCCTTGGAGTCTTTATCAAACCTAGATTGTATTTGCAAATAAGAAAACCAATTCATTTTTACACCTTGTTCTTGCAACGTTTGCATAGATTTAAGTTCACCCTTTTCATTCAATAACTCCCCATATCTAACTATTTGTTCCTTTTTATATATTATTGGATAAGAAAAAGCTTCAATAGTTGATATCCATGTTGGAATTTTTAATTAATATTGTCTTTTAATTTTCTCCCAACTCAAAAACAGTGCCTCACGAATATAATGTCTTCTAAAATACCCCTGTGTTTTAGTTCCCTTATACCAGAGAAAGGCATGCCACCCCAGCAGCAAGTCATGACCTTCTAAAGTCGATAATCCACTGTTCCTTAGTGTTATCCATTCCTTTACCCACATCAAACTTGTCGCCTGGTAATACAGCTCCCAATTGGGCAAGGCAAATCCTCCTCTTATTCTTGCATCTTGTAACAGCTTTAATTTTATTCTTGCTTTTTTACCCTGCCGAATATATTTCAACACAATTCTATTTAAATTTTCAAAAAACTCTTTCCCTAATCGAATAGGAATTGTCTGGAATAAATATAAAACTCTAGGCAATATATTCATCTTAATTGTGGATATTCTCCCAATCAATAATAGTTGCAGTTTTTCCCATTTCATCAAGTCTGTCGCAATCTGCTGTTTGAGTTTAACATAGTTATCTTCCTTCAGGGTACTGCATCTTGGTGTAATATAAATCCCTAAGTATTTAACCTTGTTCGTGATCTGTATTTTTAAAGTTTTTTCCAACTCTTTCTTTTGTCTCGTTAACATATTCTTTGTTAATATCTTTGTTCTGTCTTTATTTAGTCTCAAACCTGCTACTTTTCCATATTCTTCTATTTTTTCTATTAATTTGGGTGTTGTTTCCATTGGGTCTTCTAATATAAATACCAGGTCATCTGCAAATGCTTGCAATTTATACTCTTCTTTTTTAATTTTAATTCCTTTTATTTCTTTTTCTTCTCTGATATTCCTGTTCAACATTTCCAGTGTTAACACAAACAGCAGAGGTGATAATGGACAGCCTTGCCTTGTCCCTTTTCTTATATCTATGGATTCTGTTAATTCTCCATTCACCATCACCTTTGCAGTTTGTTCATGATATATTGTTTCAATGGCTTGGATAAATTTCTTACCAAAGCCCATTTGTATCAATTGCAGTAAAATAAATCACCAACTCACATTGTCAAAGGCTTTTTGAGCATCTAGAAACATCAAGGCCATTTGCTTCTCAGGGTGTGCTTCATAATATTCCAGAGTATCCAAAATGATTCTCACATTGTCTTTGATTTGTCTCTTTGGCAGAAATCCATTTTGATCAGTATGAATAAAATTATTTAAGTATCTTTTTAGTCTTTCTGCCAAAATTGAAGCAAAGATTTTATAGTCTGAATTCAATAGAGGTATAGGTCTATAATTTTTAACTTGCTGCAGGTCTGTACCTTCCTTCGGTATAAGTGTAATGTACGCTTCTGACCATGTTTTTGGTATTCTTTTCTTTAATATAACTTCTTTCATAACTTCTAGAAGATGAAAAATCAATATTTCCTGAAAAGTCTTATAGAATTCCGCTGGCAACCCATCTGGACCTGGAGCTTTCCCAGCATTCTGTTTTTTTTTAAGGCTTCTGTTAGTTCTATCATTGTTATACTTCCTTCTAACATTGTTTCAATATTTTTGGATATCTGAGGTAAGTTCGCTTTCTGAAGATATTGCTTGATTTTTTTCTTCTTGAATATTCTCTTGAAAGTATAGTTTTCCATAGTAATCTTGTATAATTTTTTTCTTCTCCTCATTTCCATAACAAACCTGTCCTTCTTTATCAATTGGCTAATTCTTCTTGCTTCTCTTTCCTTTCTCAATTTATGAGCTAGCCATCTGCCTGGTTTATTTGCATCTTCAAAATAATTCTGTTTCGCACTTTTAATTTTTTGTGCTAATTCCTCTTTTTTCCATTAGTCCCATTTTATGTTTAATTATATCCATTTTATTTTTAATGTATTTTTTTGTGGGGACTTCTTTAAGACTTTTTCCAGTCTTTTATAGTCATCCTCTAATGTCTTAAATGTCTTTTTCTGTTTTCTATTTCTTCTCCTAGTATAATCTATTATCAAGCCTCTTGTGTAGGCCTTCATCGTATCTCAGAGATTCTGTAAAGATGTATCCTCTTTTCTATTTTCTTTGAAGAAGAAAACAAGTTCTTTTTCTATTTTCTGTTTAAAGTCTTTTTCCTGCAGAATCATATTATTTAGAGTCCATCTAGATCTCCTCTTGTATCCTTTCCAGATAACTGATACTGGATTATGATCTGCCCATGTGCTTGTTTCTATTTCAATCTGTCGTACATTAGTCAATAATTCTGCTGACATCCATATCATATCTATTCTAGACCAGGATGTGTGTCTATTTGAATAGAAAGTATATTGCTTACTTTCCGCATTTCTCTCTCTCCATGCATCCTTTAAATTAAATTCTTCTGTTATTCGAAGAAAGGATTTTGGTAGTATCTTTCTAACTTTCTTTGTTATTTTCTGTGTTTTATAGTCCAACTGGTCATTAATTATTCCATTAAAATCACCCATCATAAAGATATTAACATAGTCCAAATCAAGTATTTTTGTATGTAATTTCCTATAGAATTCTTCTTGTTTATCATTCGGGGCATAAATTGCAATTAAAAGTGTTTTAACGCTTTTATCCATTATCTCCACCATCAAAATCCTTCCATCATCATCTGTATAAATTAGTTCTGCCAAAATTGTTTCTTTAATATATAATGCCACACCTCTTTTTTTCGATTGTGCCAGCGATGTAAATAATTTCCCCAATTTTCCTTGTTTTAGTATATATTCATGTTGCTTTTTAATATGTACCTCTTGTAAGCAGATTTTAATTTATCTAATTTGTGAAATACTTTCCTTCTTTTAATAGTCAAATTAAGTCCATTTATGTTAATCATAATCAGTTTTCTTTCATCCATATTAAACTTTATAAGAGGGTTTTATTGCTCTAGTAGATCTCAATTCTCGTTGT